ATGCTCCCTCTCACATTCCAAATTAAACTTAGTTCTTTTAATCAGTCTTCAGGTTAGGTGTAATAAGTTCGAATGGTGGGGGAAGGGTCAAAGTGCTGCCATTTGCTATATATGTTTTGGACGCTTTTTGTTTGAGAATTAATGTTGTTTAATTCTTTTACGATTACCTCCATTCTTAGCCGTAAAGCGTTTGCACAAATATTTTTATTTATCAATGTTTAACTATTCAACAGGTAAGACTTCGTGCTGTTATGTAGTGCTCTATACTTTGTTTTTCTACTATATGTAGAAAAAATTTTATTTGGCATTTGAATACACTATTTTATTGCAGCTTTTTGTTGAGGAGAGAGTGATGTTCATTCAATAATGGTGAACATGTAAAAGCTGGATTGGCTAAGTTGGAACAATGGTGTTACAAGGTAACCGATGAGGTATCTTTAACTGCCTCCTAGTCTACTTTTTGGTTCTAGGATATGTACTTACAAAATTTAAAAGGTATATAACTGCAGTATGCAGGTTATGAAAAAAAATATGATTAACTAAATTTATATTATTTTGGTTGAAATTTATAATGATTTAATAGATTATTCGATCACGATTAGAATGTTTGTTGAAATCATGGTCAAAGCATAAAATAGTGAGAGCTTTTGAGAGTTCAATGTACATATTGTTTCAAGGTGGAAACTTTTTTTCTCTATTTGTTTTGCCATTACCACTAATTATTTACACTTTTTTTTGGAATTATTTATGCATATTGCCTCTTGAAAAGAAAGTAATGTCAAATTTGACTCTATGTATGTCATTGTGAGTATTTTGTGACATTGATTAATATGATATCTAGAATTTAAATTTTACTCTAAATATGAAATTTTACTGTGATTAATACGCACCTTTTGTTTGTTTTTTTTTTTTTTTTGGTTGTTTTGATATGTAGAATTGATTTTGTTTCTAATAAATATTGTCTAAATTATAATATGGAGCCCATTTTAAACTTTCAAGCTGGGAATTTGTAAGCCTTTGCCACTCATTACTATCAACTAAGCATGGCATTAAATGTCTTCTTCAAATGGAGTAGTAGCAAATGATCTTTTAATTAATTATATTTAAGCATTTTTCTAACTAAATTGAATTCTTTTATGTTTTGAAGATAAATCACAAGTAAGAGATAATATCAAATTCTTTTACGATAAATATTACTTTTTACGTGTGATTTATTTCGTATCAATTTCATTAAGAAATTTGTTTTTGCTTAAAAAATCCCAACAAAAGGAATAATATACAAATGAACCCTCCTATTTCGTTCAAAAATAGAAATAAGACAATGAAACAAATGCTTTCTGTTATGGCAAAAGAATGCAAAAGGCAAATTTTCACACTTTCCACTTAGCTACATTAAGCTTTTCCATATTTCAGGGGTTACCTTTTTGGAAATATTGGAACTGCATTAATCGAAAACCACTGCCTTTAACCGCCCAAAATTCATAATCAACGTCATACCAAACACTGATGATCCTTGCTTGGTTTCATATTTTTCTCTTCCATCCGGTGCTCAAGATCATGGGTTATATGTCAATTGGATTGCCTTTAATTAGTACCTATTCTGGCGCTTATAAATACTGAAGATGGCTTACGTTATTGGCCTCGGAAAAGTGATAACCATGTTCTCCATTTTCATCTTTGCCTTGTGTTTTCCTTCAGTGGTTCTTTCTGGAATCATTCAGCTTGATTCAGTTGCCAAAAGCAGCCACAGGTCCTGAATCCATTGCCTTTGAGTTGGGAACCGGACGATTCTATACAACTGTGGCTGATGGTAGAATTATGCAATATAACGGACCAGTTATTGGCTTTTTGGACTTTGGATTCACCAGTCCAACTAGGTTATTCTTTTACATGAATAACTTCTGTTTAAAAAAAAAAAAAAAACTCTTCATCAGGCAAACTATGCATGCAAATGAGTTTAAAAAATGGGTCTTATCTGCACCAGCTAGAGTTTTTCATATCTTGTTATCTACCTAGGTCCCCTGGCTATCTTATCTTTGTAGTTCTTGAATTTTCAGCCTTTAAACTCTAATACAGGTCTGAGAGAGTGTGTGATGGCACTGATAATCCAGATTTGGAGCCAGTCTGTGGAAGGCCATTGGGCTTGGGTTTTCATTACGCCTCGAATCAGCTGTATGTTTGTGATGCTTATCTTGGCCTCATGGTGTTGGGTTATGCAGGAAGACTAGCAACCCCACTTTCCACCGCTGCAGATGGAAAACCTTAACGCTTTTGCAATGGTTTGGATGTCCACCAACAATCTGGAAATGTATTTTTCACAGATTCCAGCACTGTATATGATCTAAGGTTCTTTCTTGTTCCCACACTATTTCTTTCACTAAATTATTCCCTTTTTTGTAAAGTTTTGCTTCATTTACACATTGCTTACGTGTTGCAGAAATGCCACCAAATCATTGAATGCTAATGATTCGACAGGGAGGTTGTTAATGTATGAACCCGATACTAAGCGAGTGCAAGTGTTGCTAAAGAACCTTCCAGGGCCAGCAGGGGTAGCAGTTAGCCAAGATGGAACCTATGTCCTGGTCTCCAACTTCATTTCTAATAATACCATAAAGTATTGGCTCCAAGGTCCTAAAGCCAACACCTATGACATCATAAACTTTCAGGCAAGGCCAAATAACATCAAGAGAACCCTAGTAGGAGACTTTTGGGAGGCAGCAGCAATGGTAAACCAACCAGCGCAGTCATTGGTGCCTATAGGGCAAAGAAACGGCAGGTTCGGCAGGGTTTCTCGAACAGTAAATTTCGAACCCTGGTATGGAAATAACTTAATCAGTGAAGTGCAGGAGTTCTGTGGTGAACTATATATAGCATCGCGGTTTGTGAATTTTATTGGCATCTATAGGTTTTAAACTTGTCCCTAAACAGCAGTTTTAGTTTTACAATAATAGCTGCAAAATTGTACTTTCGGATGGGAGATGGCACCCCTACCATGTAATAAAGTTCTTAGAGATCACAAAACTACAACTAGTGATTATTATATTCATGAAGTTCAGATATCAAAACTAAAATATTAACCATGAATATATAGAACATGATATAATAATTGTACTAATGGAATATATGAGCATACATGGCAAAAATCAAAAACAATATGGGAATTAATGGGATTCATCAATTGGCATGGCATAGCGACATAATGGACACAAGTGACTCGTCTCCAGCCACTCAACAATGCAGTCTCCATGGTATAAATGACCGCATGGCATGCTTTTAGCTAATTCCTCCCCCTTTATCCTTCCAAGGCAAATCACACATTCACTGTTGTTGCCCAAACCAGAAACATTCTGCAACGCTTCAATGCTTGCCTTACTAGCTGGAACAAACCTGATTTGATCGTCTTCCATCTCTCCATCTATATCATCCTCCTCTATCTCACTATTATTGTCATCATTATATCTCGTTGTCATAAATGCTCCAAACTTGACAACAATCAGCAACTTGGTTCGGTTCACGTTGCATTCAACTCTCAGCAAGGCCTCGGTAAAGAACAAGATGTCACACTTGCACCGGAACATGACCGATTGGGGGGATTCCTGCCCAAACGGGGTGTAAGAGGGGGATTGGTGGAACAGTTTTTGCTCCAAATAGTTCAGCCAGCTCGATAGAATCAGGTTGCCGCCGATCTATCAAACCATGGCAACAACGAAACTGCGAACAAGGGTCATCAATAGTTTCACCTTCGTAGTCGTCTGGGATTTGATCATCCACAAGTGCACCATCCCATATTTCCCAAAAGTACCTCATTACGCCAGGATCCATGGATCATTAACAGAATGAGAACGCCTCTTAACTTTTTCGATTTTTTGTTTTCTCAATTCTTTGAAGAAAGACCTTTAGCCCTTATATATGTATGTATGTACGTGGGTGTATAGATATATATATATATATATATATATAAAATATACATGAAAACTCCAAACGAAACAAGGACTCGATAATCCAATTCCTAAAAGGACTAAATTTCAAGTTTTTTTATAAAGTATTGATTATATTATTAAACTAAAAAAAAATTATGCTGCATTTCTATATATATTATACACACGTTATGTTAGCCTTTTAAATTAATTTTTTATTTTAATTAATATTTTATCCAAGCAAACTTTTAAAAATGATAGTACGTCTCACATAAATTATCGAAAAAATGTCATAGAAAACTTTAAAAAAAATTCGAGTAGTATTATAATTTTTCTTTAGTATCTTATTATTAATTATGATAAAATTTATTTTTTTGCATAAATATATAGATGTAGCAGTTTTCTACTTAATATATTTCCATGTATAACATATAGGATTATTAATAAAGCTGAACTTTTATATAAATTTATGCAATGACATTTTCATAGTATGTCAATAGAAAACAAGTTATGGAAAATTTGCACCATCACTAAACTTGCATCTTAAGAAATTTGATACAATAAATTTTGTTGCTAGAGCAAAATTGATTGATAAATTTATCTGTATAGTAAGTATCTTATTTATTTACAATTATAAATTTCTATCGTTTTACATCATTAGTTACTTTAGTTTTTTATTTTATTTTATTTTACCAACTTTATAATTGACTTAAATTACTATCTATGTAACGCGGAGATGATAAATTCAGTCATATTTTAATGCTGAATGGCAAAAATGAATAAATTTAGATTATTTTTTAGAAAATTGTAAATCTAAAAATTAAATATTATAAAAACTGTGAATAAATATAAACTATTTTATAAAAATATGGACCTATGGTGCAATCTATTTGTAAGCAATCAATTCTTCCAAAAAAATCCTCACATATTAATTAACCATGAATATATAGAAACATGATATAATAATTGTACTAATGAAATACATGGCAAAAATATTGAAATTATGCGGTAGTAGTATAATGAAGCATAAGTACAACTCAATGTGTTGTTTGGCTTTATAAATAATTAAAAACAGGATGAAAATTAATGGGATTCATCAATTGGCATGGCATAGCGACACAATGGACACAAGTGACTCGTCTCCAGCCATTCAACAATGCAGTCTCCATGGTACACATGACCGCAGGGCATGCTCTTAGCTAATTCCTCGCCCTTTATCTTTTCAAGGCAAATCGCACATTCACTGTTGTTGCCCAAACCAGAAACGTTCTTCAAGGCTGCTTCAATGCTTGACTTGCTAGCTGGGACAAATCTGATTTGATCGTCAATTTCCATCCATCCATCTATATCCTCCTCATCTGTCTCACTATCATCGTCATCATTATATCTCGTTGTCATGAATGCTCCAAACTTGACAACAATCAGCAACTTG